GTGTTAACTAAATATTTAATTTGTAATTTAAATATTTAGTTTATAAACTGACATTTATAAATGTATGAATCATATGGTGAAAAACTGACTTTGAAAAATAAAACTGTTTTTTTCTTATAAAAGGCTAAATAAAACAAAAATATTGGTAATTTTTGTGTAACTTTACAAATGGCACCTCATAAACCATGTTAATGTTATTGTACAAATACAGTACACGTTTTTCTTATGTTTTTATCAAATTTTGAACATTTTTGTTTTGGTTAAGTAACTTTTCATGTTGGGCAGGTAAAAAAATATCTTGTTGAACCCTGATCTTGACCTAGCAGAAGCTTATTGAAACAATGTCACAGTGAAAATGTGTCGTAATCAAAGCTAGAGGTGCTCCAACAACATAGTAGTGTGGTTTATTTTTTGTGTAGGCAGTGTGTAAACTTGGACTCACACTTGAAGCGGTGGTTACAGCCTGAGGGTGACTGGTGTGTTGTTGTGTGTTGGTGTTTCCTCAGGTATCAGCTGAAGGGATCCTGGACCCGTCAGCGCTTCAGTTCTGTGCCAGGAAGGTCTCGGCAGTGTCTGGAGARGCCAGGAAAGCTCTGGACATCTGCAGGTAAACATGCAGGATGCTTACAGGACCACTCATCTCTGGTTTTACAAAGTTGTSTAAATTTAACAGGAAACTGGATTTTTACTCCAAAAAGGGACAAACTGACCTGTGTTTGTGTTTCCAGGAGAGCAGTGGAGGTCGCAGAAGCTGATGAGAGGAAGAAGACGTCTCAGTCTACGAGTGACCAACACCGTGAGTCTGCTGGAAATGATCAAGAAGCCATGGCTGCATGACAGTGTGATTAAAAGTCCTGTCCTCTGTCCTGTCAGGGCCTGCAGTCAGCCTCCCGCAGGTGGCCCGGGTGCTGTCAGAGGTTTACGGGGACCGCATGGTGTGTCAGGGCAGCAGCTCAGAGGGAGAGGCCTTCCCTCTGCAGCAGAAGCTGCTGGTCTGCTGCCTCCTGCTGCTCCTGCGCAGTGGGAAGAACAAAGAGTTCAGCCTGGGGAAGGTGAGCTGCAGAACCCTGGTGTGACATCAGAAACCTTSCTGCTGTGTGAAGTGACGACACTGGTTTGTGTTGCAGCTCCATGAGGTGTACAGCAGGCTGTGTGCTCAGAGGCAGGTGTGTGCGGTGGGACAGGGGGAGTGTCTGTCTCTCTGCAGTCTCCTGGAGAGTCGAGGGGTCTTTGCTCTGAAGAAGGCCAAAGAGGCTCGTCTCACAAAGGTACGACACTCTGCTGTTACTGGTCCACAAGTGTGTCCTGGTTAAAGCTCCAGTGTTCTGCACACAACTTCCTGTTTATCTGCACCATGTGACCATCTTTACCTGCTGCCAGGTACAGCAGMCTGCTTCTTTTAGCATAAACACTGCCACACACTTCTGACCAATCACACTGCGGGGCTGGGTGGACCGGCTTTTCCTACAGTGTGGGGACAATTTTCAAAATAAATAAAAAAAAAAGCAGCCTGTTGGGGACTGAAGTGAACCGTGGGGTTAGTAGGGCTGTGTGTTGGCAAGAATTTAGCGATACGATACGTATCATGACAGAGAGGTCACGATATGATATATCCCGATATTAGAGATCAACCGATACAGGTTTTTGAAGGCCGATACTGAAACTGGTTTTTTTTAAACATCAGTCTAACCGATACGTGCAGCCGATATTTTTTGGCCGATTCTTGAAGCCGATACTACTTTTTCTTCCTCCATTAACATGATAAAAATAAGAATGATAACAAATGTTACACAAGTTAAAAATTAAAACAAAACAAACAAACAAAAAAAATATTAACTAAGCCTTGTCTGATGCAGGCTGTATTAAGTACCACCACACAGG